TTGACTTCCAAATGTTTTAGTTGTGGACATGTATGTTGAGAAAAATTACAAAGGATTCTAGAGAAAGTAGAACTTCAACAGTGGCCAGCTACAGGAAAGTGTGAAGAAAGCATTGCATGCCAAAGAAGTAGAGATACAGCAAGTCAAACTTATAAGTCAAAATAATAGTTAACCCTGCACTTCTAATGTGAAATATTAAAATATTTGTCAAGACAACCCCATATTTTTTTCAGTCATTTTGCTGCTAGTAAATTACTAACTTCCCTTTCACTTCCCAATCTGTACTGAAGACATTGATCTTTTCATTGGTATGGATACAATTTCAGTGGTGTGAATGCCCTTTGTTAGCTTGCTCAAATGACCGTTATAAATGGCCATTATTTATGTGACAGACTGTTCCACCGAGCAATCCATCACAACTGAGTCCAAAGCTGTCCTCATCTGACAGTTGTGTACACAGGCTTCTAGAAGGTATCACATAGAGTGAGCAGGAGTGGGAACCTGGGTCCGGATTCCTCATATTCATCAGAGCATCGGGAATTATTGTACTGTGGACTTCTGGCTGTGGTCACCCAACAGCCTGAATCAGGGATTGAATTTTGGACCCTCTGGGCCTAGATAAACTCACTGAACCATCCATTGCACGTGCGTGAAGATTTTTCTTGACAGATATTGAGTATAATATTACATTTTAAAAAAAAACTTATAGAGTGAGTCTGTATTTAAAAGTTGTCAGGATTCCCGGAATTGTTCAGAGAGAATGAAGATGTGACTTAGCTCAGTCAAGATATTTTTCATATTACCACTATTTAGTATCTTGTTTGCATTAAATATCCTTGAAAATTATACATCTTTCGGGTTCGTGTTTCTTGGTTAATAATACTTAAAATCACCTGGTGCTGGTTTTGATAGCAGCAATTATGTGAAGAAAATAAATAGTGTTATAGCAGCAAAGAAAAAAAAAGATGCAACATATTACAAGTACATTTGTACGCAAGTTATTCCACTTGGATTAGATGTTACTAATTATTCTTGTAAGCAGATCTTTCTGTTTTATAATCCAGCATTTCTTTATCTGCCAAATATCTAGACAAATGATAATCAGAGATGGTTTACCATCTTTCTGAAAGTACTGAAAATATCACATGATAGAGTTTGAATGTATAGGTCACCTGGCTAAGAGCAAAGGCTATAAAGCAACAAATAATCTGACGCTGGACAGAATTCAGTGTAATGTAATACATGACCATTAGCATTGTCTGTAATATATCAAAGTAATTAAAACGTTCTCAACTAAACTAGTTGAGCTAAAAAAAAGGTTCATTTCTTAAGTGCTGAATCACTGTCTAACCTCTCTGCAGGCTACAAACTGTGGATCGATGAGTGAAGCACAGGTATCCCAATATAGAACAACCCTTACAGCAATGTCCATCAAACTGATTGCAAATAATTATTGGTCTTCCTCTGTGTCTTCACCCTAGACATAGTTGTCAATCAGGAGTCAGTATCCCCAGGCTCCAGGATATCAATCATGTAGGACATTTAGGAAATGAATGACATGAATAGTTTCACTGATCTGTGTCAAATGCTTGGAATAACTTGCCAGACTGGTCCTCTTTTATGTGCAGTGGTCACAATAAAGTCCTCTGTACAAAGGATCTCCAAAGGTGCCTTGCTCTTAGGTGAGAATATTTGTCATACAGTAATTCAGTTTGCAGAAGACAACTGCAGTAACTGATCTTAATCTTTTATGTACAATAAAAGGTTACAGACATATATTTTTGCCTAATGCCCTTAATAAATTCAATTTCAGTACTTGTATCAAACCGCTGTCACTACAGTCACTGTCTGAGAATTTTATTAAAGTTGTTTAAAGTCTGTAGAATTAACATTGCTGTGTTCGCTAGTCTTAAAGCAAAATAAATTGAGTGAAGAATGTTGAGGGAAAACATCAGTGGATGATTTACTCATCTTTTGTAATGTTCAAAATATTCCCACAACTCTGTTAAAGGAATTTGAAATACTAGCAAGGAGTGACAAAGAAGGTTGTTTTCTTTAGAAAAAAAGCCTTGTTCAATGTCATAAATGAATTCCTGCATCAAAAAGTGGGTCTTTTACTCCAGATGGAATCTAAACTTAATGGTCAGTAATGCCTAACAGTGCTCTACTCCCCACAATCTTATCATCCACTAATTTCAATACATTGAGATCTGCTGAGGTGAAGGGTCTCTCTGCAATACATTTAATAAATATTAAATGTTTAACAAATGGAAAGATGTCAAAATGTGGCTGCAGTTGTGGTCAGAAAGCCTGCTGAGCAAAGTTGTGGATCATGGAACAGGAGAGGCAGTCTCAATTTGCATTTAAAAAAAGCTTAAGGATTGAAAACAGCAAGTTATGTTGATTATTTTTTCAGATAATTGGAGGATAATAGACTGACCATTTCCCAATATTCAATGCTGAGCCAACTAGTCTGTATGTGTGATCTTTCTATAAATGCTAGTCTGGAATTCCCCATTGTTTTTGTGTTCTGCTATTATGTCCAGGAAGGGTACTTGGTTGTTGTTCTCTTTGTCTTTGGGAATTTTATCCTGGTAAGGATGTTGTTTATGTGTCGCTGGCTTTCTTCTAGTGAAGTTTCTTCACACATACGGACCAAATACTCAATTACACGAGCAACCACCCCAACACCCACAAACGGAGCTGCATCAGGACACTATTTAAATGGGCCACAACACATTGCAGCAACCCAGAACTACGCAAAGCAGAACAGGAGCACTTGTACAGATTCTTCAAAAGAATTGGATACCAGAAAAGCACAATCTGCCGTTACCTCCGAGACAGACCACAACGGGAAGACACAACACGACCAAACTCACTAATCACCTTACCATACATCAAGGACATTTCAGAGACGACTGCAAGACTACTCAGACCCCTAGGTATCAGAGTAGCCCACACACCGACAACGACCCTACGACAGCTACTGATGAACGTAAAGAATCCCATACCCAAAACCAGCAAAACTGGGGTAATTTACAAAATACCATGCAAGGACTGTGAGAAACACTACATAGACTAAACCAAAAGAAAACTGACCATATGGATACATGAACACCAACTCGCCACCAAGAGACATGGCCAATTCTCACTTGTCTCACTATACACGGACAACGAGGGACACAAATTCGACTGGGACAACACATCCATAATTACACAAGCCAAACAGAGACATGCCATTTTCTGGAGGCCTGGTATTCCAACCGGAACACCATCAACAAACACATTGAATTAGACCCTGTGTACAAACCACAGAAAAAACAGAACAGGAAGTAATACCAACCACCCCAGCAAACCGAGGCGTATAAATAACAAGCAGGACAGGACACCGACACTTCACCAGAGGCGCACTGACTACGTTACCTAGCACGGTGACGAAACGTTTGCAATGAAACCCACCGGCTCGGTGAGTATGTCTACAATCTCAGAAGAAGTACTTGTCTGATCTAAATGTAGATTAGTGCATGGTAGCAATAAGTATAAATTATATTGGTTAGTTTGGTATAAGGAGAGATGGTGGTGTCGTGTATTATCACTGGACTAGTAATCCAGAGACACATGGGTTTGAATCTCACTGCAACAGATGGTGAAATTTGAATCAATGACAATCTGCAATTAAACGCTCATCTAGTGTTGACCATTATTGCAAAACTCATCTGGTTGTACCCACAGCAACGTGCCTGACACTTGTTTGCTCTCTGAAATGGCCCCAGCAAGCCAGTCAATTCTTTATTTTAATTGACTTATGGGATGTGGGTGTCACTGGCTGGGTCAGCATTTATTGCCCATCCCTAGTTGCCCTTGAGAAGATGCTGGTGAACTCACTTGAGGCTTCCATTGTGCGCAGTGATAACTACAATAACGAATAACCTGCTGTTCCGAACAAGACTTACGGCAAACATTTTGCCATTTTGTGGATTCAACTGTGGTATCAATGTCTGGTACAATAAAGAGTTCAATCTTGCATGTTCTCACTATTAACAATTCTGATGGTAATAAGACACGCTGGAGTGAGGTCGACCAGTACTTTAACAGAGATCTGTAAAAGTTTGAGTTTTCCTTCAAAAAGGGATTTGACCATCTTGAACCCATGCCTCTGGTTCTCCATTCAGTAGTGAGTTTTTCAGTGATTTTCTTATGTGTTTGATTCCAGAAGCAACTGAAAATTGGCTGAAAGACTCAGCTGTAAACTGTGGTCTATTGTCTGATACAACCACATCATGGATCCCATGTGTATTGAACATTTCAACAAGACTTGACAACTGCTCCTATTGTGGTAGTAAATAGGTTTTTCATTTCCACTGTGAAAAGTAGTCAACAGCAGTAAGGTAAGACCTTCTGTCAAACATAAATAAGTCTATTCCCCTTGTTCGCATGTTCACTACATAGGATAAGTAGTGGAGATCAATGGCTCTCTGTGTTCAGCGCTGTGAATAGCACAGTTTCACAGGCAGCTATTGGATTCTCAATAGTGTTTGAGATCCTTGGCCACCACACCAGTGCCCAAACCCAGGCTCTCCACTTGGTAATTCTCAAGTGTCGCTGGTATTTCTTGTCTAGGATATCTTTCCAATTCATTTTGGTTAGGGCAACCTATTCCTCATGAATAAGCTAAAGACTGATTCACATATTTCTAAACTTTTACCTTCTGGAGTCACCTCTCATTTCTAATCTGTGTTTGTGAGTTGCATTTTAGTAGCTAATGTGCTTAATTCCTTTTACTCAAGGCTAAACAGACTTCTTTTAAAACACAAACATATTTGAAATGGGAGAAGATATCCAAAAAGCCAGGGATCTTTTCTATTAAATTAAACTTGCTGCCATCAACTGAGGGAATGGTTGGGTACAGAAGGCAAAATCAGTTCACCCATCCTCACCTGGGGACACATGCATGTGGGGATATCCCATTTGGAATCATAAAAACCCTTGCCTAGGGACTGGTCATGACAAAGCAATACCAATTATAGACAAGGTGATCGATAGTCCTAATCTTTTATGGCATAGGAACCCAAATAGTTCACACCTGCTTTCAGCCCTTTAAATGGTCTTTTGGACATTTCTGCTCAATGAAAGCAAAACAGACTTTTAGAAATATTACTTCAAAAGCATCTTACAGGAAGCACCCTTTTCTATATACAGATTCTCTTTCTCTATCCTGACCAATTGATTCCATTTTCCTGCCCAATGTGTCCTAACAAATTGATTTTGGTAACAGAAAAAACCATCGTCTCTACTACAGGTACTACTGTGGCTGCATATATTCTGTTTGCAGGAGGTATTGCAGCAAGTGGCCAAGATTTCTCCAACAGCAACTCCCAAATCTGCAGTTTTCACCACCTAAGACAAGAATAATGGATATAAGTGAACACCATCATCTCGAAGTCACCCATCAACCTAATTTGGACAAGTATTACTGTTTCTTCATTGTTATTGGGTAAAGACCCTGGAACTCCCTCCTGCAATATTCATGGAGCACCTTCACCACATGAACCATGCAACTCAAGAAGGCCAACTACTCCTTACCCTAAAGGTAGGCCATAAAGAATAACTATTTTTAAAAGCCCTCTGTAAGGTTTTAATGCGATCCAGATTCCTTTTTGTTTCCTATAGTGCTATAAGACATTTTACTTTCCTTTAATGTTTTACATCTCTGTTTCATCTATTGAATTTTATTTTAACCAAGGAACAAAATAGAAGTGTCCAAGTGGACTTGATCTGGGAAAATATGTGGCTTTATGGTCATTGCTCTGTATTATATACCCTGCTTTCCTCTGAATGTTCTAGTCCAGTGTTTTGTTTACATAGTTCTCTTTCCTGAAGGACATACACTAAAATCCCACAGTCGAAATAATAAAGCCAAGTGATTTGCCATTACTTTAACCTCATCCTTGAATGTGGAAAACAAAAGCAGTTTCAAGGTCACTCTGTGGCACAGTGCCTCAGTGTTCCAGCATACCACACAACAGCAAGTTCAACTTGCCACATGCTGAGTTACCAAGCTTAAGAGGGCCGTCAGAGGTTATGGAGATATTCATGGTCCAGAACATTTAGTTATTTGGAGTAAGAACAATTATGTATTGATGATTAAATATCATGGGGCAGTAATTGACTTTAGCCAAGACCATGTAATTAGTTTTTAAAAATGACATTGCTGTATTTAGGAAGAAGGCCACAAAAGATGCTATAATATTCTACAATATGTACAGTACTTAGAAAATTGCTATATGTTTTTGTTGGTTCCAGTAACCACTTAATACTCTGCTGTACGTCCAAATCAATTGAAGTACAGAGGTGTAGTGTTTTTATGATGTATTATCAGACAGAGACTGCTATGCTGCAATGTGTAGACCATGTATCATCAATGTAGACAGGTAAAGTTACATACTTAATTGTTAGCATGAAACTGATACTTTATAGCTAAACACTGATGAAACAAATTCCAGTATTATTATTACCTGTATGTGTTTGTCTGAATAAACAATTCAAATCTATGAGACATTGACAGAATCACCCAGACATCTGAGCAGAGGCACTGTTCATTGACTGCACTGATGAGTTTAACCAGCAGGATTGCCTGCCACTCCAACTCACTTGTTCTTTTGCTGCAGTAGAGGCACTGAGTAAGAGTGCTGTCCATCTTGTGGAAATAAAACCCAGTGAAGGGAGCTGCAATGAAATTGTGCCTCCTGCTTACCAGTCAGGTAAGCAGTCTCAATGACTAATACCTTCAACACAAAATACAATATGTGGATGTGACTAACTTGTTATGGGAGAAAGTAAACAACTCAATGAACAAAGGCAAAACTGTGCCTGGCAATTATTTTAAGGGTTGCCTAATACTGCTGATATAGCTTGAGATACCACTGATTGTTTTATTCCTTGAAACTAATTTCAACAATTAACATATGCCTGTCACTATCGTATCATAGTGCACTAAAACAATAGATGTCACTTCTTCATGTTTTCAATGTCAATATCAAGTGCCTTCAGGTCAATATAGTATTTCTGCTGGAATAAGATGGTTTCCCTTCTCTCTTAACCTCAAAAGGGAACCACATTCTCCACCAGTGTAAGCTCAAAAAACATGTTCTACAGCAGCTCTCTTTGTGACCCAATGACTGCGCCTTCTATATTAATGTCTGATCAGGAAGAGTTAATATGATGGCCAGAATAAAAACTGAAAATACTCAACAGGTCTGAAAACATCTATAGAGAAAGAAACAAGAGTCCCTGTTTCAGGTCAGTATGTAAGTTGGTAAGGCCAATATTAGTGCTGTCCCAGAGGGACAGATCCTCAATACTGTACTACGTGGTGAGGGATGCAGTGAAGCTTGGAACAGCTACCACAATGTCCCATTGGGAAAGACCATCTAATGTCTTTCAGTTATAATGCACTAAGGGCCTGGTGTAGAGAAGTAAGCAGGCTTCTGGAACCCCTCAGATTGTATGCTTGATATAAAATGCACATTATGAATATCAAGAGTATTGCAATTGTATTGAGGCTCCTCAGAATTCTGTATAGATGAAGATTGAATTGTATTACATTTTCTGTTTTCAGTCTGAAATGTTTTAGCATGTACTTTTATTAATTTTATGTATAATGTATATTCTGGGGAACAAGTATACATGGAAGTCAGTTGAAGCCATGGTTTGGTTTGGCTGTGATTTCATCCCTCCCAATGTCAAACAACTATCTTTATCTCCCTGAGTAAGCACTTTTGTTTTGAGATTTTCAAATGCTGTTTGATGTTTTGGAGTTACGCCATAGGATGTTCTTGTGAGGAAAAGTAGTCTGAGTCATGAAAAATTATCTTAATAATAAAACAAACCTGTCAATTTAGTATTTGCCTCCAGAACAAAATTGGAAACTGAAAACCTTTTGACTTTAAGGAAAGATTTCTCCTGTGCTGTTATTGCAAGTTCATTCTGGTTGCAGTGTTTGGCTTATATTCTTTCTCATCATATCTTTTAAAACTAACCTCACACGGTTGTTGGGGGGGTGAAATGGTTCTCTGAGTGATTTCTTTACAAATGACAACAGGATGTGAAATTGCTGAGAATAGTCAATTGCCTGACCTCCCAAATCAATGTGATACAGTGACCTTTGTTAGTTGAAAAAACAGCACAGCGAGAAAGATCCACACCAGCATCAATGCCCACACATACACAAACAACACCTGTTGCAATTGTCTGTGTCTAATAACATTGCCTCAAAGTCATCATTTAAGTAATTACTGTATGCTCACCACTTTAATAATTACTGTATGCTTAAATCTACCATAGAATGGAAGCTAGTTAATTCTGGAGCTAGTGGCACAAATTCTCAGTACAATCTTCAGTATCTCGCTCTTACCGAATGAGAGACTTTTAAGGAGAAAATGTTTCCAAATCATGTCCCTGAAAGAATTATATTTCAAATTGACTTTTGATTAAAAAAAGGTCTCCTGTATGAGTGATACAAATTTACTGTCTTTAAGATGAGTTTAATATTGCTGTACATTTACTGGTAAATCATTAATTGCTAACACCAAGCAATAGTTGAGACTCAGAAAGATCACAGCATTTACCAGAATGCAGTACTACACTGACAACATCCTAAGTGTGTTGAAAAAGGTTAAACCATCAAATAATTTGGAAAGTGATGGTATAAATTGTGGTGGATAATACAGTAAGTCATAACATCATAGCATTGTGACAGCACAATGTGCCCATGCCAGGTTTCTACAGGATTAGTCTTACTCCACTGCACTCCACTGCTTTTTTTCCTCTCACGCTGCATGTTTTTCTCTTCAGGTAATTATTCAATTCCATCTTGAAGGCCATGATTTTATCTATCTCCACCACACCTTAGGTAATGCATTCTACATTATACCTGGATGCATCTCCTATCTGGATGCATCACAGCGTGGTTTGGGAACTGCTCTTCCCAAGACTACAAGAAACTACAGAGAGTCATGAACACAGCCCAGTTCATCACACAAACCAGCCTTCCATCCAGTGATTCCATCTACACTTTCCACTGCCTTGGCAAAGCAACCAATGTAATCAAAGACCTCTCCCAGCCTGGTTATGCTCTCTTTCACCTTCTTCCCTTGGGCAGAAGACATAAACATTTGAATACATATGCGAAGAGATTCAACAACAGCTTCTTCCCCACTGTTATCAGACTTCTGAATGGATCTCTCAAGTTTTAATTCTGATGTCTCTCTTTCTCTGACCTGTCCCGCAGTTCTAACACTGTATTCTGCACTCTGTTTGAGCTGCTACACTTTGTATGGTACAATCTGCCAGTATAGCACGCAAAACAATACTTTTCACTGTATCTCGGTACATGCGACAACAAAAAGTCAATCAATCAATCAATCAATCAACCTACTCTGTATAAAAAGGTATTTTTCACTCATGTCACCTTTGCTTCTTTGCTGATCCCTTATACCAGTGTCCTCCGAATCCTGGCCCAGTCACCAATAGGAACAGTTTCTCCCTATCTATTCATTCCTGACTGCTCATGATTTTGAACACCTGTATCAAATCTCATCCAAAACTTCCTAAGAAAAGTTCAGCTTCTCTAGTCAAGGTAGGGAACAATTAAAGTGGATATCAAACACAGGCCTAACAAGGTAAAACAGTCCTTCAACAACAGGCTAAATATTGATATACCAGGCCTCGGTTTCCCCGAAATTGCTCAGTGTAATTGGATGAGATCAAGTTTAAGTGTGAGGAATGGAGCTGTACGAAAAGACTGAATTTGAAAGACACCATGTCAAAAAAGGGTTTCAGAGATAGTAGGAACTGCAGATGCTGGAGAATCTAAGATAACAAGGTGTAGAGCTGGATGAACACAGCAGGCCAAGCAGCATCAGAGAAGCAGGAAGGCTGACGTTTTGGGCCTAGACCCTTCTTCAGAAAATTTTCCTGCTTCTCTGA